CTCTCTCTCTCTCTCTCTCTCTCTCTCTCTCTCTCTCTCTCTCTCTCCTTCCCTCCCTCCCTCCCTCCCTCTCTTCTCTTTTCTTCTCTTCTCTCTCCTCTTTCCCCTTCCCACTCTTTTTTCTCTCCTCTCTCACCCATCCTCCTCTCTCTCCCTTTGAATCTGTCTGTCTCTGTCTCTCTCTCTCTGTCTCTCTCTGTCTCTCTGTCTCTCTCTCCTCTGTCTCTCTCTCTCTGTCTCTCTCTGTCTCTCTCTCTCTCTCTCTCTCTCTCTCTCTCTCTCTCTCTCTCTCTCTGTCCCCCCACCACCACTTCCTTGATTTTATGACTAAAAAACAAGCCCTTTATCCCTTAGGCTACTGTTTTACAGATCTCCCATCACAGCCACGGAGCACCTCCCCCATCCCCACCCCTCTTCCCACATGTCCCCCAGCAGCATCAGCAATGGAGGCCAGGCCAGCTGAACTTAGTTGGTGGCTGTTCACAACGCATCCCTTTTTCCTTCCTGTTTCCCTACACTGCCCCTTCTCGGGTTCTACCAGAGTAGTCTTTCCAAGGTGTATGCCTGCCATACATCCTTCTGCCTAAGACCCTCAGTAGCACCCAGGGGTCCTTATGGGATTCCTCCTGCATCCGGAGCAAGGCTCGGCTAAGAATTATAGGGTACTTGAATGGTGGATAGCCTTGTCTGGCATACAGAGAGGACCAGACAGCTTCTCCTCAGCTCTCTATTTACAAATGGGAGGGGGTCCACCCCTGGCCTGGCTCTGCCTACTTGTGGGGATGAAGATTCATAGCAGACAGAGACTCCAAGGAGTCCTCACAGAATGCAAGCTGACCCTGATACTTACCCTGAACGCTAGCCTAAACCTGATACTTTGAAAATTGCTCAGTCCCAAGTTGTCAGAGCACCCAGTGTTCAGGTTATGCCCGTGAGCTGGGCTGGAGGGCCTGGGGCCTAGGTGGACACAGATAACCCAGGTATCAGGTCCCTATCCTCTCTCACCTGGCTGGGCCCTGGATACTGAGCATGCCCAGATCTTCAGAACTATCCATAAGCTGGCACCGGAACTCCTGGTCCTGCAGCACGGTGTTGATGTGGGACCAGTTGTGTTGGGCCACAGCCCCACCCACGGCAAGGTAGTAGGCTTCCCCTGGAGGAGAAGCAACAGGTTTAGAACAGGACCTTGGGACAGGGAACACAGTGAGGGACCCTAGATTCTTACTGAGGAAAGTGTATAGCTTGCTTCTGGCAATGAGCAATATCAAGGGCATCTACCTGCTTCTTAGAAAAAGGGTTAAAACTCTGGTGCCTCCATGCCTGGGAGGGGCCACCTATCCTGCCTCAACTACTAGGGCACAGTAGACTCAGACAAATATTTTCCTTCCTGACTCTCATATCATACGTCCCCATCATAACACACCCCATACCCTTGTGCTCCCTGCGTCTGCCATTCTGAAGCCCACTGGGCTTAGGGATGGGAGAGTTAAAAGCAACACTCCCCGAGGGATGGCTAATCTTGACGGTCAATTTGAGAAGGCCTAAAATCACCTAGCCAGTCTTCTCAAAGTCCTGCCACCACATTTTCCCTGCTGTGCCCTCGGACTGTGAGTTGATGAACTCATTCTTCTTGTAGATGCTTTAGTCACAGCAATGAGAAAAATGGCTAATACAACCTCCATCACCCAGGGTGTTCACAGAGCAACTTCCCCAGGCTTCAGGAAAGGAGACAAAAGTTCAGAGAGGAGACACGTGCTGGGAATACATGGGACCCAGTGTCCCTATGGCCACGGGGCATCTACAGAGCCACATGGGCCCCTCGACTCTGCCCTTGGACAGCAGCTGGCTTCCACCAGGCATTCTGGGAAACCACTGCTTCAGAGTTTAATGATCTTGGACAATCTGTGGCCTTAGATCCAGTAAACAAGCTCACCAACCTCCTGGTCACATCTGGGATTCAGGGTTCACAAAATTGTCTGTCATTGGCAAGGGTGCCAGTACCTGCGGCAACCAGGTATCCTTGAACTTTTCATTGTGTTTACCACACCCTGAACCTGGGTGGATGGAGCCTGGCACAGGGGAGGCAGGGTGGGAAGCTTCTATGTGGCCCCCATTTTTCTGCCTTCCTTCTTCACTGACTCCTACAAGTTCCTCTGTGTCACAGTGCAGGTCCTGGAAGTCCCTGAGCCTCTGGCCCTGGTCACTTGCTTAGGCAGTCAGGATGTAACTGGAATCCCCTTATGGAGCTGCTGGGAGAGGGCAAAGCCACAGCAGGCACAGAAAACAGTGTCTGGGAGGCAGAGTGGCAACGTCTTACCCACTCTGCGCCACACCCCTTTCAGAGCCCCTTCCTGCTTGTTCTCCCAGCTTGGGTGCTAATTTCCATGGAGGAAAAGAGGAGGCTGGGACTCACACTTGGTAGACTCAGCCCCTGCCCCAGTCACACACATAACAGAAGTAGATGCAGAATCCTAGAAGATGCAGAATCCTGAGAACGTCCCTAGTCTGGCTTTGTCCACTCCCTGTGAGTTCTGGCACCTGAGCTGCTTTCCTGTCTAGGGAAGGGATGGCTGACAGAAGAAGCCAAGAGTCTTGGTCTCTACCCAGGAGGTCCTGATTGAGATTCTGAGGCCAGGATGACCTAGCCACCCTGCCTCAAAGCTTCAAGCTAGTGAGATTTTTCCTTCCTTCCCTCAGGGTTTAGTCTAGAAAGGGAGCAAAAAAATGTATCCAGGGAGCTATGAGTCTAGCACCCTCTTCCTTCCTGTAGACCGGCCTTAACTCCCCCTGACCCTGTCATTGAGTGCTATGACACCTTGCCTGTTATTCCAGATCCATGCCAAAGGCCTCAGCCTCTGGGAAGCCTCTTTCACAGAAGAACCCCTTGGCATCACTGGTGCCTCCTTCACCCTCACATCCCATGTGCACCCCAAGTGGCCCCAGCCCCTGGCACGTTATCACTGGTCTAGTCAGCCCACACTCACACCTCATGGCCCTTAGAACCACTCAAGCTCTCCCAGAGAGAGCCCTTGGATTCCTCGTCATCAGCGTTTGCAGATCCACCCTGTGGGACAAGGCTCTAGTGAGCCGTGCTTCAATCCTGCCCAGTCCTTTCCCTTACTTGCTGATCCTTGAGCTCCATGGCCAGGAAGTGTCTTCTCCTCCTGGACCCCCTCCCACACCCCATCCTGCAGAGCTCAGAAGTAGTCTGAGTCCATGATAACCAAACCCAACCACTGTGCCTGTCCCTCAACCAGTCTCTTCTCACCAGTGATGCACTCTGAAGAGTATCCTCTGAGCCATGGGTGGGCAGAGGCCTGCTTCCTCAAGTCTGACACCTTTAGTTTGGAGATACCTCACAGGCACACACATCCATGGAAAGATGCAGTCTTGGAAGGCACACAGGCTCTGGCCAGCCTGTCCCACTGCAATATCTGCTCATCTTTCTAAGTTTCTCCTTTCTCCCTTGTACAGTGGGCCTGGCCACAGAACAGGGAGCCTTCAGGGCAAAATACCAGAGACATTGTGGGGGATAGGAGAAAGGGAGGGAGATGAGAGGAAAGGGAGGAAGGAGACAGTGAGGGAGAAAGGGGGAGAGAGAAAGAAAGAGAGAGGAGAAAGGGAGAATGGAAGGAGAAGAGGAGCGATAGGTACAGAGGAAGAGAGAGATGAGGGTGAAAGGGAAGGAGAGAGAGAGAGAGAGAGAGAGAGAGAGAGAGAGAGAGAGAGAGAGAGAGATCACAAGCAGAAGGCTCCTTCCTTGTGGTGTTCCCACCAGAGGATGCTTGAATTCTGGACAGTGTCCTCAACCCCAGGCCAAAGGATATTCGCCATGACCAACTCTCTCTATACCTATCTATCTATCTCTGTCTCTCTGTCTCTCTGTCTCTCTGTCTCTCTCTCTCTCTCTCTCTCTCTCTCTCTCTCTCTCTCTCTCTCTCTCACTTGCTCATGTATACTTCAGTCCACATTCTGCTACCAGCCTGAGTTCCCTACCAGTTGGCTTGGCAGTGCTAGGCCTGCTCTCCCTGGGCAACCATCTCCACTCAGCTGCTCTACAGAGACAGTGCAGGGCCCTGGACATGGCAAAAGGCAGATCCACATGAGCCAAGGGGCAGAGTCCCACCCCAGGCTCCTCTCTACCATCTCCAGGTGTGGGGTGAGCTTTGTGGGTGGCAGATCTTAGATGCCATTTTCATTATGTCGGTGTGTTTCTGACAAGCAAGTGCACCTTTTATAATATTAAGAAAGATGAATAAAGATAATTTAAAATTGCTTCCAAGATTGACAGCTGCTTGGTACACAGCCTTGATCACATGTAAATTGTCACATTCTCTCGCCTTGCTGGAGCTCTGAGTCACATGGATAATTAACATGCATATTAAATATACACATACTTAATGCGATACATATTCATCACAGGACCTGTGTCAGCGCAGGAGCTGCTTTCTCTGCTTTGGGGGCTGTCCCTGTGATCCACAGCCTCCAGGGCATGGGGCTCACTGGATCATCTGGTCACGCCCCTTGGGTGTAAGCCTCCCCCAAGCACTCAGCCCCAGGAACTGTGCACCAGGTGGGAGGCACAAGGTAATAGATCACAAAGCATTTTCTTGACAGATTCCAGCAAGGTCCCTATTGCCAATATAAGGAAACAGCCTTAGAGGCCTGTATATAATCTCCTGGCTCCTCTTAGGTCTTACTCATTCCTGTAGCAGCTGAGGTAGGTAGGTTCGCCAGTCCCCATCTCACAAATAGGGAAACTGAGGCTCAGACAGCTAAGGTCTCAAAATTTAAAAATTACAAGAAAAGGTGGTGAGGATGTAGCTCTGGGATAAAGCACTTGCTGAGATATGCTTGGTCCTAGGTGTAACCCCAGTTATATCAGACCTCCGACCACATCACATACAGGGATAAGGGTTCTTACTCTCCTCCTGCATCCTCCTCTCCCCCTGCCCCTCCCCATAGGGGGGTTTCACTAAGACACAAACGGGGGGAGAGCTAGGAGGTAGCTAGATCTCCATATGGGTCAACACTGTCCACTGTCAGCTTCTTGGATGGCAGCTCAGAGAGCCACACAGTTGATACCTCCTCCCTGTAAACCATCCTTTTAGAAGTACCAATGCCTTTCTTAGACAAAGACAGGCCCACTCTGTTCCTTCTCTTCTCCTGGTGAACATAGGCCACAGGACAGGAGGCAGAGCTGCCCCTGTGGGAACTAACAGGAAGGATCCAAGGTTGGGGTGACGGGAGGCGGTCTTGTGTAGAGGTCACAGCTAAAGGTATGTAAGCAGGACTAAATGCTGAGCTGCCTGTCATTATGGGTGTGCAAGGAGGAGTGGAAGGACACAGAGTGGGCATTGAACCAAACATCAGGGAACCTGCCAGGCCTGAGACAGGCAGTGGCTCACAGACTGAGACAGCCCAGATGGAAAGAGACTGAGCTCTGAGGGGGAGATGTAGCCTGCCCTGGGCTTATGCTAGCCTGGGCTTATGCTAGCCTGGGCAGCTGGACTGAGTGAACCCACACCGAGGCTGCTTCAACGTGCCACTACACCAACAGGTATAATTAAAGAGTACTCGGAGCGACAGCACAGCCACCCGAACATAACCTGCATTTAGCCTGAAATGAGAACGCCAGTCTCCAGGTCCTGACCACAAGTGGACATGACAGATAATTACATAGTCATCCTGGATAACCCTCCCTGACCTTCTGGACACCAGTGACTTGCCAGTCCTCTGAGCAGGTTACATCTGTGCCAGTGCTGCTTCTCATGACAACCTTACCTTCAAATGCAGGGGCCAGGGGACTGGCCTGGGCGCCGGGAGCCAAGCAGCTAACGGTCAAGTCACTCTCCGTGCCTCCCTGTCGGTTCAGCATGCATGTGTACACTGTTGAGCCTGGCAACAAGGACCCAGATGTGATCTCCACTGAAGCTCATTCCTCCTCAAAGCCTGGAGGACCCCACATAAGGCCTCCTACCCTCATAAGGCCTCCTACCCTCATAAGGCCTCCTACCCTATGACTCTATTACAGCCAACCAGATTACTGATGAGGTCATCCATGGTTGTCATCTGGGGAGGATTTCTTTGAAAATGTATGACTCCTCCCTCATCCCCATCGTCATCGCCCACAGCAATGTGCCTGATATGGCAGAATCAATATCTGTGGGATAAGGGGCCATGTGGATGAACCATGGTCAGGGAGAGGAATGGATGAGGTGAGTGGGGTGGGTAGGCGGGTGGGCACCTGGGGTTAGCAGATAGGTAGAGAAAAGTCTGGTAGAGAGGGATGGAAGACTGCTGGTGGTCGAGGGGGTGAGCAGGTGGGTAAAGCTGATGGAAGATTCACAAGAACAAAACCTGGCTGCACATGGGGCTGCTGGGCTGCTGACTGGCTGCACACAGGGTGTCATAGGCTGAATCATAACCCACATACAGACACATTACAGGTTTGACCCCAAAGACTTGTGGGTGAGACCTGATTTGGAGGTAGGGTCTTTATAACCCTGTGTGAGGCAAGGTTATTCAGATGAGCGCCATCTAGTAGGGCTGCTTACAGAAAGAGGAAAGTTAAGGCCTGGGGAGGGGGTGCTGTACATTCAGTCCACAGGAGCCACGTGAAAAGCCAAGCATGGTGACACACTCTTGGAATTCCAGTGCTGGGGAGGCAGAGAGAGGAGGATCCCTGGAGCTCACTGACGGCCAGCCCCGCCTACTTGATGAGTTCCAGTCAGTGAGAACCTTTACCTCAATAAAACTAAGATGGATGGTTCCTGAGTAGTGACACCCAAAACTGCCCTCTGACCTCCACATGCGTGTGTGTACACACACACACACTCACACGGACAGAGGGTGCAGCCCATGGCATCAGAGACAAGGTTGGATGAAATAGCTACAACCCAAGCAAAGCCATTGCTCCCAGCCTCCATCAAGCTGGAGAAGACAGGCAGGATCCCACTCATAAAGGACACTCAGCCAGCACCCTGATTCTGACCTCTGGCTCACAGGATCAGGAGGTAATCCATCTCTTATTTGAAAATACTCAGCTTGTGGGACTTGTGACAAGAGCTATGAACAAGGGATAAAGATGAGGGCGGGTGGGTGGATGAGTAAGACAGCGGGGTGGGCCGGTGACAAAAACGTAGATTATCCCAAATGTTTCATAGGATACACCACAACAAAAAAAAATTTATTATTTATGCAAGATTACATTTTAACTAAGCTTTATGGATTTATAATTCTTGCAACCACACAGGGAAAGCACCACGATAATGGGGGGAAGTGACTGGGCTCAAGTGCCAGGAGATAGCACCGAGTACTTGTGGCCCTGTATCCCTTCTGTGAGCAAAAAAGGAAGGGGTCTAGGGAGGGAAAAGAAGAAAGAATGGAAGAGGGGGAAGACCCTGGGGTTGGGGACAGTAAATAGTGGGCCAGACAGCAGACTGGTTAGACCCAGGGGAGGAACAGCAGGCCACCTGCCTGCTCTCTCATCCCATGGAGTTCCATCTGACACTGAAGCAGGAGAGTAATGGATCCATCCCACCCTGGGCCCAGTACCTGGGGGTCGGTTGACATCTGCTGAGAAGAGCCAGTCTGCAGCCTTCCTGGCGTCCACCCCCAGCAGGTAGAACTTCCCAAAGTAAGACATGTTGAACACAGCAGCAGCCCCTCTGCACGCCAGACACTCCTTCTGGATCTGAAAGGCCCAGTGGAGGAGAGGCTTTGTCTGCCCCTGGAACATGGGCTGGGCCTTTCCTGACACACCTGTCTGGAGCCTCCCCACCACCACGGCTCTCCCAGCCCCTCAGTCACCCCAGCTCAGGAGCTACCACAGAACAGAAAGCACACAGAGGATGTCGGGCACCAAATCATAAGTAGGATCTGTTGTTCAAAAGAACTGCCCTAAAAACTAGGTACGGTGGCACATAACTGGGGAGGCAGAGGCTGGAAGTCCAAGCTAGGCACACAGCCTTTCTCTTCAAGAAACCATAGAGAGTAAGCTAAGTACACAGCAAAAGGAAAGACGGCCAACATACAAAACCTGCTGTGGGTCTGCCCGTTAACATAGGGCAATCTAAAGAGAAACCAAGAAAATGATTCTTTCTTCATAGCCCCCAAAACAATAAAAATAACTAAAGTAAGCTTGACAACAGAAATGCAAAGTTCTTATTATAAAGAGTTAAAAATGTGTGTGTGTGTGTGTGTGTGTGTGTGTGTGTAGACTATGGGTTGATATCTGGTGTTTTCCTCAATTGCTCTCTGTGTTACTTTTTGAGACAGGGTCTCTCACTAACCCTGAAGCTTGTTAATTGGCTAGACTGGTTTGGTCAGTATCCTCCTGTCTCTGGCTCTCCGGTACCTGACTTTTTATGTTCAATCTAGGGATCTGAACTCAGTTCCTCATGCTTACTCATCAAGCCCGTTACTGGCCATCTCCTCGGGCCCTAGGAAGAATGTTTTTGAAAAAAAAAAAAAAAATATATATATATATATATATTGACCAAAACCAATGGAAAGACACCATAAGTGTGTGGCAAGGTGACCACACACTTGGGTTGATCAATACATCTGACTTAGTCCCTACCACAGCCTCAGCTGAATCCTATACAGCTCACACTAAAATTCACATGGAATTCCAAGGGCCAGACTATGTTAAACAACCTTTAAAAAGAAGAAGCAAGTTGATGTGGTCACACTCCCTGACTCCAACACTTGCTGGGGCAGGAGGAGGAGGGACTACAGTAGACAAAATATCTGACATTTGCTGGGGGAAGAAAAAACTACAGTAGACAAAATAGTGTTGGGCTGAGCTGGGAATGGAGGTGTGGCTTAATGAGGTGGAGCCTCATCTAGAAATCATCCTGATGGTGTTGACGGAGATTGGTTTTTCAACGAGAACCCCTGGAGAATTCATGGGGATACTGAGTCGTCTCAGCAAATGGATACCCACAAGCAAAACAATGACATTTGAACACTTAATTGTGTAACACATAAGACTCCAGACAAAAATGACAAACCCTTAACAGAAAACCCAGAAGTACGTGTGTGTGGCCCCTTAGACATGATGCTGAAGGCATATGCAACACAAGGCTAAGAGCTGAATCGGACATCATCAAAACCTTATACATTTATACAAAATAATTAGTTTGTGTTGCAAATAGTTCCATAATGACAGCAAAAAGGGAATGGGAGAAACATATGGACTCTGCATCAATCAAACAAGAGACTTACATCCAGGAGATGTACTTATTTTAGGCTTTGTGTGCATGGTGCATGTACATGTATGGGCTATGCCAATATGCAGTTGCAGGGGCTAGAGGATGTTGGGTGCCTTAACCCATCGATTTCCATCTTTTTCTCTTGATACAGGGTCCCTCACTGATCCTGTGTCCAGGATAGAGTGGGAAATGGGGGTGACTCCTGGTGACTGTGGGGCTTCCTTGTGGAGAGATGAAGCTGCCCAAGAACTTGCTGGGGACAGTGAATGTAAAGTTTTCAATCGATGAACTGGGTGCCATGTCTCAATAAAGCTGTTAACAATGAAAAAGAGTACACACCTCTCCTAGCCACTCCTAGCAACTGCTCAGCTGTGCCAACCTCACTCTCATTACAGATGATGGTGGTGGGAGCCACTGCCATGGGCTGGACAGCCAGTGTGCGTCCAGAAGCTGGATCTGTCCTCCTCTACTCATCAACAGTGAGATGATTGCTACCAACTCTTGGCATCCCCAGGGCTCTGGAGTTCACAGCAGTGGAGTGAAAAGCCTCAGAAATGTTCCTAGCATGGCCACAAAGAGCCCCCCATCATAAGGATGACAGTGGAAGTCTCCAGTGCCACACTCATGGCTGAGCCAGACAGAGAAACCAGCCTTTTAGACCTTGCAGTAGGTTTCTGGGCAAACAGCAGACCTTGGCACAGCAGGCTGCCTCCTGAGGCCTCAGCTCCTCTGCCTCTCTCCAGACATCATTAAGGATCGCTCCCTGTCCACCAGGCTTTGAGGTGCCTTTTCTGGCACTGTTAGAGCTGCTGACCCAAACCCAAACAGCTCCCCAGGCTGACACCCGCTGTCTGCCTGGCTGGGGAAGCTGCCAATGTGGAGAACAAGTGTGTGTTTCATGCGCAGGGACTGTCTCTGGTGCAGTTGTGGAGGCTGGATGGAGCTGCTAAGCCAAATTGGCATCTTCCCCAAGCTTCCACACCCTCCAGGGCCAGGAGTCCCACGGGCTGTAGAAGCTACAGGTGCCGAGGTGCCAGACGCAGCCATGCACTCCCTGAGGGGGTTGTAGGGACTGGGCACCAAGCTGGCCCTGCAGCTGCTTTGCTTTATGGAGCTCCTGACTTCTACAACCACCTCAGAGAGCTCTGACCTGCTTTAATAACCTGTTTGCTTCTCACACAAGCATAGGGGAAAGCGATGGGACAGATGGGCCCTTGCCTTCAGCATTGGCCATAACGTGCCATGTGAGTCTGGAGAGACACAGATACCAGTGACAATGACCATGAGGGGCCTGACTGATGGCAGTCCCTGCATGTGAAGCCCTACCCTGATGTTTTGCCCAAAGTCTAGGGCCCAGGCTGAGGGCTTGGGTCTGCACCTACTTAAGATGCATCCTGAGATGTCACATGCATGGAATCACAGGTGCCTCTGGCATAGTGACATGCCCAGAGACAACTGTAGTTCTCAGAGGGGGAGGCATGACACAGGCATCACCATTGCTCACTGTGTAAGCTGCCTGTGAGAAACAGGCTGGCGCTGCAGGAATGCCTAGCCCCAGGCCTCAGCACCTCACCACTCATACAGAAAACCGAGTACACTGGAGAAGGACCACAAACTTCCTGTACAGCTTCACTTGCCCAGTTTTTGAGTCAATGAACAGATTCCAATGGTGCAGTCATCCCATCCCTGGTCCCTTCTGCTTTATCTTTCCAGTGGCCTTGGGTGTAAGGCCAGCAAGCCCACCTTGTTCTAGAACTATTCCAGAGTTATCTGGGAAGAGAAACCTTGGTTGATAAAATATCCCCATTCAGACTGCCTATAAACAAATTTGTAGGACATTTTCTTGATTAATGATGTATGTAGGAAAGCCTAGCTCAGAAAGGGCTGCCCCACCCATGGAAAGTGGTCCTAAATCATATAAGAAAGCAGATTAAGTAAGACGTGAGGAGTGAACCAGTAAGGTTTGTCCCTCCATGGCCTCTGCTACAGTTCCTGCCCCCAGGTTCCGGCCTTAAATTCCTGCCCTTCATGATGGACTACAAGCTGAAAAATGAAATAACCCCTTCCCTTAGGTTGCTTTGGGTCATTGTGTTTTATCACAGCAATAGAAACTTTAACTAAGATGCCACCCAAACCAGCGGCCTCAGTCCGGCCTTCTGCTGCCCTCCAGCAGCAGTATTGAAGGACCCTCAGATCTGGCTGCTGGCAAAATTCCAGTGCAGAGTAGAGAGGGAAAGGAAAACATTACATGGCTCCCACACATCTGTGTTAGCCAGAAAGGGGGTGAACTTGCAGCAGGCAGAAGCCCCTCAGAAAGCCCAGGACCCTGCAGGCAGCTCAGCAGAGGCCTCTACAGGAGGGACAGAAGGCAGCTGTGGGCTCGGCCCAGCTCAGGCTGCTTACCATGTGGTGGTGGGGTGGGAAGTCGAAGGTATAGTCATCACTTAGCAGCCTGCTGTAGGCATAGTCCTTGTGTGCCTGGTTTCCGTAGGCCCCATAGTAGTCATAGTCAAGGACCTGTTACATACAGAAAATGAGGCCATCTTTTATTCTACCTTTCTCTTCCCTCCCTGCTGTAGCTTGAAGGTAAAAATGCCCCCCTCCTCCACAGACTCACAGTTGAGCACTCAATCCTCATCTGGTGATGCTATTTGGGGTTTCTGGAATGTTTCAGAGGTAGAGGATGGGAGGTTGAGACCTTATAGCCCAGTCCCACTTCCTTTATGCTCCCCATTTCCTGTCTGAAGACACAATGTGACCAGCTGCCTCCAGTTCCTACCACTATGCCTTCCCTACTATGACGTTCTGTTCTGCTGATATGGAGGCCCCCTCCTTCAAGCTGTTTCTCATGGACGTTTGGGCACAGCAGTAAGGACAGTATCTCACACACTCCCTCCCTTCTCTCTCCTCCCTCCACAAGCAGGCTTGGGCCCACTGCTCAGTGGATGCTCACTAGACTCTGCAGATGCCAGGATGAACATGACACAGGCCTGGTTCTGTCCTCATAAAGCTCCCCTGGGGGAAAGTTAGTGGATCTGTATGGCTCAGATAACACAAGGATGCCTGTTCAGATAACAGCTTAATCCCTGCCTTGCTGGTTCTAACTGGAGAATGGAGAAAAGACTAGATACCAAGTGAACTGGAGAGGAACTTAGCAACTGTGAGGGCTTCCATGTGATGCCAGGACATCAGGTGGAGGGTGAAAGTTATGGCTAGGAACCACCACAGAGATGGTGTCATGAAAATTCATGACACCCTAACCCCACTGAAAGTGCCCTCAACTCCCAAGGAGGGCCACCCATTTTGCAGATGGAGAATCTGAATCCCAGATGGTTAAGCTCTCCCCAAGGTACAGACCAAGCTGTGGAACCAAGGCATGAAGCGAGGCAGGAAGGATTGGGGTCTGTGGCTGTTCCTAGGAGACTCTGGGAAGGCTCCAGTGTCTGGCTCCTCTCCACTGTCCCACGCTTGCCAGAGTTCTGTCACATTGGTCAGATGCTGTCCCCATTCTCCTCCTCAGGCTCTGAGTGGCTTCCTCCCCATGGCAGAGGTGATTAAAGGAGCTAAAGACCTCATCTTCCACAGCTGCAGCTCTAACCACAGGCTTCACTCACTTCTCGGGGATAAGAGCAGAGCTCCAGGAGTGGGGGGATCTGCCTTAGTCAATCTGTTATGCCCAGTGCCCCTGCCAGCCATGGCATCTTCCCCTGGTCTCTGAGGCTCTAGAAGGAATATCCCTTTTAGCCCTACTGGTTTTCCAGACTGGCTCCTAGAGAGGGTATAAAGTCTTCCCATCTGAGGACCAAGGGGCTTCCCATCCCACTGAGTACTTCTCCTTGCCTAAGACCTCCAGGACAGAGGCTCTGTCATGTATTGTCCTGCCTACTCTGCTTCCAGGACCAATGAAAGAAAAAACCCTGTCATCAAGGCAGCTAAGTGTGCCCTGCAATGAGTTATGGACCTGGGTAACTGAGGAGATGGGTGAAGGTCACACTGGAATGCGATGGGACACTGCATCAGCAGTCAGGGGTTAACTTGCACACACCTAGATGTGTGCCTCAAAGCCTCTGTGGTCTGCTCCCAGGAGCTGTTCCTAGGAAACTCTGGGGAGGCCCCTACAGCATCCCAGAGGCCAGGATGTGGGATGGTTCAGTGAATAAACTGACACACTGAGGCACAATTCCTCCCACTAACAGCAACTAACAGTTGGTGTTGCCAAATATACATTCTTGAACGATGTGTGGAAAGGACCTGCATTCCTTCTAGAACCCGGGGGATCCTCCAGTCTGTCCACACTGTGGGTCTGTGCTGGCATCCAGTGCTTGCCCACGTGGGCACGCAAACAGGCAAATCTTTAAAGGAGCCTCACCGCTGAGGTGCAGACGACTCTGTCAGCTTCCTGGGTGCAGACAAGTGACCGTCGCCACAGCCTGAGGCACACTGGATCAGCCTGACTTGGGGACTGGGAGGATGCTCAGATGAGGAGGGTATACACATAAGCTGGTGCTCTTTGCTCACCTGAGCTGTTTCTTGGGGGTTGAACCATCCTGGCCGTTCCCAGCCCTGTCGCTCTTGAAACACACAGCCTTGTTCAAGCAGTTCCTGGATGGAGACAAGAGAGGGCCCATCACACAAGGCCAGACACCACAAGGGATGTAGAGCCAGGGCACCCACCACTCATACCCAAGAGTGCTCAGGGAAGCAAGGTCCCCAGCTTGTCACTGCTCCTCCCCAGAGCTCCCACTGCACCCTCATCTCACAAGAACCCACGATCTAGAGAACAACCTGCCATGAGCTGAGCTGTGCCCCAGAAGTACATATGCTAAGACCCAAACCACTGCTTCATAGTTCAGAGACTGAGCCTACAGGAAGAGCATTAGGGTTAAGTAAAGTTATAGAGTGGGTCCCAGTCCCAGGGGGCTGGTCCTCTTCAAAAAAGACAGGGACCTGTTGGGATGTGCTCTGCTCTAAGAGGACATAGCAAGACAGTTGTTGTCCTCAGCCAATAGAGCCTTAGTCAGGAACCATGGCAGGAACACCTTGATCTTGAATCTTCCAGAAAACAGAGATGGTATCTCAAGAAGACTGTGATGAGAAGTCTGTCTCTCCACATGCCCAGCCTGGCTACTCTCTGACACATGCCTGTACTATTTAGCCTGCCCTCTACCACCCAGACCCTGTCTCCTGCACTGCTGCAGCACTGGGGCATACACCCATGTCAATTCCCCCCCCACACCCCCGTGTGTGTGTGTGTGTGTGTGTGTGTGTGTGTGTGTGTGTGTGTGTGTGTGTTTCATGTGCACATCTGTGTGGAGGACAGAGGACAACCTTGGAAGTCCTCATGTGCCATCTACTTTGTTTTATGAGACAAGGTTTCTCATTGAACCTGAAGCTCACTGACTAGGCTAGGATCCTCCTGTCTCTGCCTCCCCAGTGCTGGGATCATTGAGGCACAAGGCCCATTTTTATATGTGGGTTCTTCATGCTTACATTCAAACACTGTACCAACTGAGCTATCTCCCCTACCCTGAATCTGCTTTCAGGACATCTGCCTCTCCACTTGGCCTAAAGCCCCTCTGGAAGCTAGTCTCTTCCACCCAAACCCTGGCACAGCACCCCACACAGAACTCAGGGAACACAGCCCTACAGTAGGGTATCCCATAAGTGTCTGTTACCCCAACACCCCAAGGCCCTCCAGACTCCTCAGCTTCTCCATGCCTGATATACCTCATGCAGGGGGTCTTTCCTCATGTTGCGGCCTGCCAGTGGCTCATCGTGTGGAAAGACAACCGAGTAGTTCTTGGCATAGGACTCATGGCTGCGCTCTCGGATCCAGCGGGGGTGGTCCGTGAGCGAGTGATGGAAACGCCTGCCACCAATAAAGGGGATGGATCACCACTTGTGGACAACCTGTCAAGGACCCAACCTGCAGCAAATCTGGGCTGGGGCTAGCCTTTTCACTCAGTCACAAACCACCTCTCACAAGTAACCCAGCTAAGGACATTGAGACCAGTCCACAATTGATTTCTGCCAGGTAGGGTAAGGCAACCATATGTGTGGGCTCAAGATGTCCAGGTGTTGGGATTTGGTCTTTTGCCATGTATTGTAATGCTAAATACTGGCCTGGATTTAGATTAAATATTTCTACACCAGCAGGGGAGGTGGGTGGGCCATCTTCTCATCTTACAAATGCAGAAACTATAGCTGAGAGAAGAAGGAGTAGCCCAGGGCCACACAGCTGGGGATGTGCCCTCACAAAGGGACCCATCTGCTCTGCTGTAAGAGAAGCATCTGCTGTGGTCTGGGGGCCCCTGGTGCTGAGCATGCCCTGGGACCTTCCCTTGCAGCTGGGCTCTAGGCACACCTAGGACCCAATGCGGCTGCCCTATACAAACACATCCCTTACTGATGATCTCTCATAGATGAAGCTGGAGGAGCATATGATGCCCTTGACCTAGTTATAATAAGGAAAAAATGGGTACCAAAGAGAGACAGGCTTTGGTTTGCACTGCTCCACTCTGGCTCTCTCTGTGTATCTGTCTCCCTTGGTGTTTATCTCTCTCTCTGTCTCTCTCTCTGTCTCTCTCTCTCTGTCTCTCTCTCTGTCTCTCTCTCTGTCTCTCTCTCTGTCTGTCTCTCTCTGTCTCTCTGTCTCTCTCTCTGTCTCTGTCTCTCTCTCTGTCTCTCTCTCTGTCTCTCTCTCTCTCTCTCTCTCTCTCTCTCTCTCTCTCTTTTATACACACACACAAGCTTGTAGTCTACAGTGGGTCCCCAGGTGTACTACACAGGTACAGGTGACCCCAGCTGATCTGGTTTCTGCTGCTGGAAGAATAGTCCTGTGGCTCTGACCATACCCCTGGAGAAGGTCAGGTCATCCCACTCTGTTTTGTAGTGGGAAGAGTGTGAACAGATCCTTCCCTAAAGCCCCTTGCAGCTGTATCATTTCTAGAACATTCATCTACAGGAAGAAAACTTATGTGTGGCTGCACAGTCTCTGAGGGGATATAGAGCAGACCTCACAGCACCAGAAGCTGTGTAGGGGGTGGCATTCTGGGGCTTTCAGAGCCGGCCATCTGTCTTTCTGGTGGCAGACATCACCTCCCTCATGAGTGCAATGTTCTCATACAGCCAAGAAGAGACAAGCTGGCGAGGCTATGGGACATCCTGAGCTGAGCCAGCAGTCCCTTCACTCAACTCTGTCCCTGTATCAGGTCAACAGGCAGCTGGGTTCCTTCAGGGGACTATTGCCCTGGAGCACATACTAACTGCAGACACAACAGACCAAAAAACATCCTCTTGCCTAGCGGCTCAGTCCCTATGGTGCCCTGCAGTCCCTAGTATGGCCCCAGCAAAGGACCATACGCACAGGTCAATGTAACTATTCTAAGAATGGGGCATGGAGCCTGGGTCAGACAGAACAGGCAGGCTTCTTGCCTGGGAGCCCTTGTAGCAGGCCATGGGGCCCTAGGATGTCTTCAGGCTCCTCCCATCAGCACTGGCTCAAGCTACATGGTTCAGTGCCCAGAGCTTCCCCACAGACCCAAGTCACTCTCTGTACCCACACCAGCCTGTTCATGCTAACTGCCCTGCACCATGGAGCACAGCCTGCCCAGTGTTGAGCCTGACTCAGGTCAGGCCTTGGATTGAAGGAAGAACCACCAGACTCAGCTCAGATACTAGTCCTACACACTAACAGTGATCTCAGCTGGACCCTTCTCCCAAGCCTCAGTCTATGACGTAGCCTTTTGATGTGGATAGTGGTAGGACCTAGGTCAGGAGATCCTGGACACCACAGAGGCTGTGGACTGCCCAACCCAGGTGCCCCTCCATGACACCTACCAACCACTGCCTTCTCCCCTTCCACCGTTGATGCCTCCACTTCCAAGAGGTCATCTGGATCTCAAGAAAGGATCTGTCCTAAAAGAGCCCTCATCCCTTTGTCCTGCTGTACTGACCCAGCTGCCCTGCTTCCTGGCTACAACTTGCCTGATGTCATAGCTGTACATGTCCTTTTCTGGGCGCCCGTGCACAATCCAGTGGGCCAGCTCCTGTCCACAGCCACCTCCCAACATCATGCCTGGTGACACAGAAATACAGGGCTACAATCTGCTCCATGTGCCCCCCACATCCAACTTTAAGACCTGTCTCCATGGCAGCCCTACATAAACCCTGTTCTCATACCTGCATTGAGGGGGCTACATGCCTTCTAGCAGGGCTGCACTCTGCACCACAGCCCCCTCTATCTCTATACCTCCAGGGCGTGCCTCCTGGGCTCAGGGATATGGAGTCTCACCTCATATGCCCCCTCACCTGCACTGTTGAAGCCACAACCAAGGAAGAAGCCTCGGAGCTCAGGAGCCTCCCCCATCAGGGGCTTATGGTCAGGTGTGAAGGATTCTGAAAAGGAGGGGAGGCCTCAGACTCCTCCAGGTGTCAGACACGTGGGGTCGTCTGTCCTAGGACAATAGAGACTGGGAAGCTGCCCTTGGATATCTCCTTTGTTGAACTCTCCCATCCTCATAACTCAACTTAAATACTGTTACCTCCAGGGAGTCTCCCAGATTGCTCCTGTCCTTGTTCTCCTAAGCACTTGACCTATGACCTAACCAGCTCTACCCCATGGGCCCAGATTCATCTCAGAAGCATTGTCATCATCCCACCAACAAGCGGCATTCCTCTGACCCAGCATAGTCTACAACTCCTGTCAGTGAACTACCATCTTTCTGTGTCAGTCATTGACCACTGACCATTAAGGATGAGGGCCATACCTTGCTAAAGGCCAGGTATGCAGGTAGCATGGAGGCTAGCTACGTGCTCCATATGTGGTCTTGAATGAATGAATGAATGAATGAATGAATGAATGATTACATTTTCTTTGCTACCAGGGTGCCAGGGAGATTAAAGGAAATTGCAGTCATAGTCATGAATTCTCTGTTTAACTCCTCAAGCAAGCCGCCCTACCTTAGTTTCCTCTGCTGAACAATCAAGATCCCAGTACTGACTCTACAGGGCCAGGTGAACCTACAAGCAGTTGTATCCCAAATATCATGTGCTTGGCCCTGGGAGGAAGCCTTGTTTAGATAAAGACAAATTACACCCAACAGAGCTGATCGAACAGCAAAAGAGACAGAAAACAGCCAGATAAGCAAAAAATGAGGTTGTCTCATAGAAAGAACCACAAGGTAAGCCAGACGCTCCCCACAATCCTGTATGCTATGAACTACTACTGCCCAATGTTTTATCACAGAAGAGAAAGCTGTCTGGCGGAGGTCAGATGCCTCCAGTCACTCAGCAAAGGTGCACAGATCCACCCAGGTTCTTAGCATCTGCTGGTAGAGAACTAACACACCCATCCTGTTCCCCAAAGGGTTCTTGGAGCCTGAGCTGCTGATGGGCAGTGTCTGAGCTCAGGGGCAACCAGACATGGAGCAAGAGGAAGGAAGCTTTCAAATAGTAGGAAGCTGAAGAACCAAGAGACCAAGCCCTCATTCCTGTGCAGACAGACTACACAGAAAGGCCCATCTCACTTGTAAGTCATGTAAGGCCAAAGCTGGACATCATGTCGGACAACAAGAAATGGTCCTTATACTGTGTGTGAGAAGGCAAAACAGAGGGTCTCCTGAGTGCTGCACTGCACACACCAGCCAAGTATGAGTTCAGCATTTCTCCCAAGATTCCACATCAGCCCTGTGCGTGTTCCAAAAGGACTTAGCGTGTGAATGAGCACACTCTGAGAGAGGGCTCAAATCCAAAGCAGACCTGGAAGAGTCAAGTGAATACAGTGGAGATCACCAAGAGGCTACATTGAAAAAACAATGGGCAAGTGGGAGAATTTTGTCCTTAGGGACAATGGCCTTTTACCCTCCTAGTAGAAGGCCTCACCGAGGGGAAGAAGGCATGAGATGGGGCTCAAGTGACTCTCCAGTGTCCTGTGTGAGGCTGGACTGTCTGAGTGAGGGTAGGGGCAGCCCTCTGAGTAGGACCATGTTGGCTAGAGAGGCTGGAGAAGTCATGCCTAGGTCTACAAAGATTTGTGGGAGCTGGGAGTGGAACTTTGGTCAGAGGAGCAGGTGCAGAGTACAGGGTCCCTTAGATTTTTAATATAGGCCAATCTGGGAAACTTAAGGATACCAGAACTCCCAGCAGTATGGTAGAAGGATTTACATTTGCCACCTTTGCTCTGAGTTCTCAGCCTAAGCCAGTGAGCTCCATCTGCCCTAAGCCTCTCCAGAGTCTGGGACTGGGACATCTTTGAATCCTGGAGGCTCAAGCCTCAGAGCTGTCTGGCAAGGAGAAAAGCTACCCACCCCCATCCCTAACATACCCTCACTGCTAAGAGACCAGACCCAAGTTGTCTCTACAAGCATATGTCCCCAAAATAGGCCCCCATGGGGGAGTGACAGTTTCCAGGCTAATTAGACAAAGAGAGCCACTGGGGACATTCATGCCCCCTGGGATTCTTCCTGTGTTTCTCACTATCAGTCCCACTCTGGCTGAGCAGGGACATGAGTCATAGCCCTCGCCCACATACCAGATAAGATGTGCTCTCAGCCTGCTCATGGAGGCTAGGGGCCGACTCCATTTGGCCTTCCCGGGACTGCACCCAGTGCTACAGACTGAGCTGGCTCTATAGTCACAAGCATGCCCAACAGTGAGGGCTGGACTCCCCAGAAGGAGTTTCTCATCTCTCCTAAGATGGCCTGGCCACTTTGCCCCATGGACGTCCCTTGGCCTCCTGGTTCCTCTTTCATCCAGTGACCAGCTTGGCACCAGCCTGTCTATGACTTCTCAGACCTATGCTACCTCTGCTGAGAGGTGTTCTGTCCCTGCCTCCCAGGTGACACGCTGTAGTGCCACGAGGTTCCCACATGTAGACTGCTTGGCCTATCAAGCTGAAGACAGTTTCCTTTTAGACTACCCTGTATCTGAGCTTGACTTTCAAGGTCACCCTATAGAAGGGAGGAAACACACCTTGGAGATTCTGCTGAGCCCACATCTCTACCCAGCTGTGTAGTTTCCACCTCGACCCAGCAATGACTGGCTCTGTGACAGCTGATAGTGATCTTCAGCTTGGCTGGATCTAGAATTACCCAGGAGGCTAGCCTCTCAACTGAGAGGAATTACCTAGTTTAGGTTAGCTTCAAGGCATGCCCGTGACAGGGTGCGGAAGACCTGCTGTAAACGGGGACAGCCCCATTCCCTGGGCAGGGGTCCTAGACTGCACCAGCATCCATCTCTCTGCTTTCTGACTGTGATACAACCTGACCATCTGCCTCAAGTTCCCCATCCAGGGCTGCTCTGCCATGACAGACTGCATCCTCGAACTGTTGTGAATCAAAAGAAACCCTTTGTCCCTTTAGATGCCCTTTTGGTGGCATTTTGCCACAGTAATAAGTAAAGTAACTAAGACAGGTGTTTCTCCCCTGCCAGGCTGGGAATCAAGAAAAGGATTGACTTTGACAAAATAGAACAGAGCCCCGACGTGTGTGGGGCTGCTGGGCCGTACCACACTTACCCCAAGGGTGTGGCTGCCTGAATCTTGCATTGTATGTATCTGACTGCAGTATCATCCTTGCCTCCTCTCTAGGATCCTCACTGTGGATGAAGCCTAGGGTACCCTGTGAATGGTGGCTACTCTGTAGACAACCTAAAGAGATGGAGTCTGGGAGCTAAACTCACCTCTTCTCAGCCCCCTGAAGACCAGAGGGAAGGCAGGTGCTTGGCAACCCCTGGCCAGAGATCCCCCCAACCCCCGTGCTCAGCTCATCTGAAGGCACTGCCATCCAGACTGACTAAAGGATGCCTCTCCTCCGGGCTCAGCCTCCCCACTCACCGGGGCCACAGACAGTGGACTTGATCCCCGTCTTCTCCAACACGGGGACACGGTTAATGGCACCTTCAATGTGCTGGGTGAACACATCCCAGTCCAGGTCAAAGAGGCCAAAGGCAAATTTGTCTGACACCTACAAATGAAGCCAGAAGAAGAGCACTGATCCTTCCAGGCCCACCTATGACACGGCTCCAGCCCCTAGCCAGGTAGGGAACCAGGTCAGACAAGACAGAGGATGGGATTCACTTGTGGGCTCTCAATCCACCCACTCCCTTCCTTCCTGGTTGTACTCCACCTAGTTTTCCTGGACTGTTTCTGTGATCTCCAGCTGGGCTCCAGCTTCTTGCTGCTAACCCATTCTCTCAAACCATACAGTACCTGCCCTTCTCCTGAGCCTCCCATGGCTCCCAGTTACCTACCTCAACTGGTCAAAACCCTCCATGTGCCTGCCCTCCCAACCACTCTCCTATGCTCAGCCTTGTAACAACTCTTCTGATTTTAGGATGGGCAAGAATACCACCAGTCATTGTACCACACACCTTTAATCCCAGCACTCAGGAGACACTGGTCTACACAGTGAGTTCTGGGACAGTTAGAACTACATAGAGACCCTGTCTAAAGAGAGGGAAGGGCCCTATCTCAGGAGCAAGCTGGAGCTGCTCCTAGGCCACCACAACCTTGGCAACTGGCCATCCAGCCCACCTGTGTCTTCAACCTGACCTCTCCAACAACCCATACTACTAACTGTGCTGGGGTGCAGTCACCACCCACACTGCACTACTCAACCCTGTGAACTTTTGTTTGGCTCCCTACCTCCAGGCAGTCAGTCTCCCCAACCCTTTCCAGAACTAAATAGACATTTGGTCCGGAATCACCATCTAGTCAGTCTGTTTGTGGACATCTGGATGAGACACCTATGGTGTCCCCTGAATTGTCCTCCATCCCTGAGGCTCCACTGTGGCCTTGGAGAGAGGCAGGAAGGGCAAGTGAGGCCTCAGAAGGCCCATCATTGCTGCTGCTCAACCAAGGGCTGGGTCACTTCCAAGCTCTTCTAGAGTCCAGCGTGCTGAGCTGGGCAGCAATCCATCTGGCTTCTGGTATACCCGAGTGCCAGTTCTCAGAAGCACTCAAGTCGGGTGGGGCCGAGGCACCTCTGTCTTTCCACCATGGGATCCTTGAGGGCGAATCTTACCTCATCCCAAAAGATAGGGTTGGCCTCATAGCCACCCACAGACAAGGCATCCCCCTGCAGACGGAGGTACACAGAAGCATCATGATCCCGGACATTGGGCATGTTCTGGAAGGTAAAGCAGAGAGGCCACAGGTGTCAAGCAGCCCTTTAGCACTGGTCCCCATGCCCTGGGGCATGCCCAGCTCTGGGTGAACTTGTGTCACCTTCTCCTACACTGGAGATGAACAGGGAAGGAGACAGGCAGAGAGAGACAGGAACCCCTCAAAGAGGCCTGGCTCATTTGTGAGCAGCAACCACAGTGTCTGAGTTAGGGACGGCTTTCAGAAGCACTGTCATAGTTGCAATAAATAAGTACTCCTTTAAAATAATAACAGTTAGCCCTGCCAGTACCATCAACAGCAGCACTAACACACCAAAGATTGTAGAGCAAAATAGCGCAGGTTTGTGGAGACCCCTGGAGGCCAGGGAAGCCCATGTTCCTGTCCCAGCAGGCAGGTTCCCTGCCCCTCGGCCTCTTGGCCGCAGCAAGACACACATGTCTGCCTAGCAACTCCACTGCTCACTCCATACAGGAGTCCATTGTACTCTGGTGGACAATATGTCTCTACTCCAATTCTGTCCCCAACTTCTGACCTCAATTTATTCTCTCCCAGTTGCTTCAAACCCTGCTGGCTGCTTCCTTTTGGAAGTCAGAGTGATTGCTCCTCTGTTCTTGGTCCTCTGAAACACCAGCTAGATAAACATGATCATGGCCACAGCTACCCCATGAGCTCCTCCTAGAGGCTAGTACCTTGCTCACCACATTACCTTGTTCTGCCTCAGCACAGCCCCATGCACAGTTACCACCTGCGCTGCAGGAAAGGGAGGGAACTGAGAGCCGAGGCCACTCAGTTGGTAGAGTGCTTGCCAGCAAGTTCAATCCCCAGCACGTCATGAACTAGGTGTGGTGGTGCATAGGATAATCAGGGGTTCCAGGTCATCCTTGTCTATAAAACTAGCTCAAGAGTAACCTGAGCTACATGAGACTCAGACAGTGAGGATGAGCACAAGTAAGAGGAGGAGCGGGAAAGGACTAGAAAGATAGCCCAGTGAGATGACTCAGTGGGTAAAGGAACTTACCACCAGTCCTGATAACCCCATGTTTGATCTCAGGAACCCACATGGTAGAAAAACCAGCCTCATAAGTTAGCCCCTGACCTCTACATGCACACACACAGATACACACACACACACACACACACACACACACACACGCAGAGAGAGAGAGAGAGAGAGAGAGAGAGAGAGAGAGAGAGAGAGAGAGAGACTGAACACGAACTGTGGTGAAAATTTAAAGAAAGAAAAGGGAACCCCAAGGCTTAGAACAGTGACTGCACTCTCCTAGGCTGAGTGGGAAGATGTGGACTTCTAATCCACAGCCTAGGCTGTGGCCTTGTGTTTCGCATCTGCATGGGGCAACCATCTCCCTGCAGAAGCAGATGGGAAGGTGATGAAAATGTAAGATAGACAGAACCATACCTTGAATGGACACAAGGAGGTTAGGACAGAGCTGGCTAGAACCAAGGCAGCTTCTCAAAGCTGGGAGATCTTAGATGCCCCAGAGGATGAGCACCAAGCCCTGACTGGGCCCTTGCCTGTAACTACGGCTACTACAGGAAGACAATATCCTGCAGCACATGGCTGCCAGGTCCAGGGAGTTTCCTGAGCTGAGATGGGCAAGAGGACACATGATACAAACCCCAGAGCAAGTTTGCAGCCTTGGAACTCTCCTCAGCAGAGTAGGACCACAGCAGTAGGCAAGCAAGTCTGAGGCCTGGCTCTGTCTCCTGCCTAGCCCCAGCACTAGGCAGGGCAAAACTCATAGAGCCTCATCACACCAGACAGTCCCTGCATGTCTTGAAGCATCAGGGATGGTGGCCCTATCCATGTACATACCCACAGGCACCTGGGGACCTTGCAGCTTGGCTCTGACTTTGAGAGTCATGGGAGGGAGATAGCCAGCTGCAGGCTGTCCTAATGCTTCCCAGAAAGGGCTTTAGCTAGGAGTGAGGGGTAGTGCCCCTCAGTGGACACCCTGTGCTTACCCTCAACCCAGGACACATCCACTGCCCCCATTTACACCTCAGACTCAGCCTGGCTCCGGTGAGCCCTTCATGGTCAGAGAGTGACCCCTGGTGGCCATCTGAGGAGTTGGTTCTCCCCGCAGTGCTGAACTTTGGCAGTCAGCATGGCCAGTTTTCCCTGCACACCAAATACAGTCCAAGGTAGGTGTCTCTGTAAATAAGGACCTACTGTGTGTTCAGAGGGAGTTACTCTGGAAACAATGGCAAGAATCCACCAGACCCAGGGTTTTGGTGTGCTATTTTCTACATTCACACTATGAAACATCTAGGTTTGACATCTTGGAGGCAGGAGGGAAGCTAAACTCACACGAGGCGGGGAAGGCAGGCACTAAGAACCTAGCATGGGCAAGAGGGGGTGTGCATGTGTCCAAGACTCTCATTGCTGAGCCCTAAACAAGAGCGATGTGGCCTCTCACACTACCCCACCCCACAACCTATGGCTCAGATCTCTGAAATGTCAATCAAAATCAAAACCAATGCCATGCTCTGTGACCTTCTCCATCATCCTCAAATCCCCACTGAGAGGTGTGGCCTCCTCCTTCTGCAGAGAGCTACCGAAAGATCAACTAGTCCTCCAATCTCAGCTATGGATGTCAGGCAACCCACGCTCAGCCACATTTGATTGGCCTAAGGTGAGTGTCTTTGTGTAGTCCTTTAGGACAGGCTCTGCCCTTTACTGGGTCTCTGAACCCTGAAACTCTGGAGGGGTTCCCTTCCAGAACCCTTTGCAGCTTCTTTGAGAGTTGCTCCTTTGCTTGTCTGTAGGACCCCCATTTTCTCTTCAGGCAAAAACTGGGTCTCTCCCTGTTTTACCCCCACCACCTGGAGCAGGGCCTGGAACATGAAGCCATTCCAGTCAGTGCTGGCTGGAGACAGGATTCGATGCCCATTGGGGAGGATTAACAAGTAGGTGAATGATGGTGGAATAGGGGAATGAAAAGGTGAATGGGGAGGAGGGATGGGCCATGGGTGGGTGGACAGAAGGCAATAAAGAAGAAGGGATGGAAAGATGGACAGATGTACAAGGAGATGGGTGAATGGCTGGATAGATGGAAGAAGGCATCGAGGAGGAATGGAAGGTGGGAGGGTGGCAAGAAGGATGGAGGGAAAGAAATGAATGGCGAGATACAGGATGGGAGAGGAAAAAGAGAAGAGGGGCTGCAGATGGCTCAAAGTTAAGAGCACTGACTGATTTCCCAGAGGACTGGGGTTTGAGTCCCAAGACCCACATGGGTGCCATGTAATTCCAAGATCCAAGCACCCTCATACAGACATATATGCAAACAAAACACCAGTGCACATAAGACAAACATTTTTTTAAAGGATAGAGGGAAGGAAAGAGAAGGATGAGGAATAAAGAGAGGGGGAAGGTAGGAAGAGGAGAGGAGGGTGGAGGAGTGATGGGGAAGCAGTGGGTTTAGAAGGAGTGACGGAGGAGGCGGGAGGGAAGGGAAAGACGTGCTCAGATGATTGGTGAGAGGTAGGAGGGCTCAGTTGTAAGGCACCAGAAAACTACCAGCCAACAACATAGAAAAGAAGACCCAAGTAGACCAAGAGAGGAGTGAGCAGAAGGCACATAATTCCGGGTACCTGCAGGTACACACAGCCCAGGGCTCCCTCAGCAGAGGCTCTCAGAGTCGTGCTGAGTGTCAGGAACCAGAGTCATAAGAATGGACTCATCATGTTTGATTTCTCTGAAACTCAGGTCCAGGACGTTGAACAAAGCCAAACTGGCTGCCTACAGCAAGGTCTAGTAACTCTGATTACCAGACCGGAGATATCAAGGAGAAGCCAGGCCCTGGTGACCAAAGTAGCCTGCACCATCAAATTCACAGCGGCAACTCGTGTTACATCTGCCACCACCCGTTACACAGAGGACGTGCCTAAGGCTGAGGGATGTGCCATTTGACTAGGTCCAAACTGGGTCTTAGGGAAAGTCCCGAGCTCACCAGCTGCCATCGCTTACCTGGATCCCCTCAATGCGCTCTGTGACGACATAGGCGTGGTGCATGGCCACCAGTGGGACCTTTACTCCTGCCATCCGGCCCACGGTGTTCGCCCACACTCCTGGAAGCAGAATGGAGAGTAACTCAGCTGCCACTCTCAGAGTGGGCATGGGACACCTCAGAATTCCTGCCTATCCTGACTTCCCATCCCAGAAAGATGTACTTTATGGGTGGGACCTGAGCTGAGAGAGTCAGAGGAACAGCATCCCACCTGCACAGTTGACCACGCAGGGTGTCTGGATGGATCCATGCTCCGTCTCCACAGCTGCCACCCGCCGCACTCCAAAGTCATCCGTCCGCACACAGATGCCAGTCACTGCACAGTTTTCAATGACCTGAGATGGGAAAAAACTGTACCCTAAACATGTGGGGCTCTCTGACAGTCTGACCTCCATCCATGACCCACTAGATAGGCCAGGATATTGCTTCTGTGAGGAACACTTCCTGATTCATTTGATCAGAGAAAAGGAAGACACATTACAAGACAGCAGAGCCTACTCCCTTCCTTAGTTGGAACATTTGTGCAGATTGGCAGGCAGGGGGATACTCATTCAGAATAGCAAAGGATTGCTGGCTCATCTAGTAGGTAAGATTCATTTGAAAATAGAAAAATATTCATACATCATTTTGGTTTTTAATAAGATGTGTGTCTGTTTTATTCCTTCATAGAAACAGAAACATGTTAAAATGTCCAGTGTTGCGGGACTCTTTTTTTTTTTTACTTCCTCTATGTTTATTTGTCTTTTTATGTGTGCATGTATGTGGTATATCCATGTGCTGTGTGTGCTGTCTCATTGTGTGGAGGTGTGTACATGTGCATGCACTGTGCTGGTTGTGTGTGCTGTCTCATTGTGTGGAGGTGTGTACAGGTGCTGGTTGGCTTTAAATGTCAACTTGATTCAACTTAGAATCGACATGAGAGAGACTTAACTGAGGAATTATCTAGATCAGGTTGGCCTCTGGATGTGTCTATGGAGAACTGACTTGATTGTTAACTGACCTAGCCCATGGTGGGCAGCACCATTCCCTATGCTAAGCCTAAACTTTATGAGTGAAGAAAGATACCCGGGCATCATGGGTGCACTCATATCTATCTATCTATCTATCTATCTATCTATCTATCTATCATTCTCTCTCTCTCTCTCTCTCTCTCTCTCTCTCTCTCTCTCTCTCTCTTTCTCTCTCTCTCTCTCTTTCTGATCCTGAGTGTTAGATGCTTGAGTTTCTACCTTGATTTCTCAATGGTTTGTAACCTGATTGTAAGACTAGTCAGTCCTTTCCTTCCCTAAGTTATTTTTTGTCAGGGTGTTTTAACACAGCAACAAACATGAAAGTAGGGCATGAAATCACATTTGGAGGTCAGAGAAGGACATTGGTGTCCTCCTCTGCCACTCTACCTTGTTCCCTTGAGACAGGCTCTCTCACTGAGCCTGGAGCTCACTGTTTCCACGAGGATGACAGACAGAAAACCACATGGATGTTGGAAATATAAAACTCGGTCCTGAGAATCAAGTACTCTTATGCAGTAAGCCATATCCCCAGCCCCTGTTGATCATTTTCTACAGTAAGTTTTTCTACAGTAAGTGCAAGGTTGAGGCAAAAGAAGACAGAATAATAAGGGATCCAGAGATTTCTTTTGTGACAGAGTAGGATCCTTGTGAAGGGATGGAACAACACAATGGACCCAAAGGCTGGGCAGTACCAACTGGCCCAAGACCACATATATCAGGCCAAGGATGGAGCCTGTCCTCCAGCCTCAGGGTTTGTAGGGAAAGGGGGTGGGCTCAGAGTAAAGACACATAGTTGGCAGTTACAGGTACCTGAGCTCCTCGAGCCACTGCTGCTCTGGTGAGGGTAGCACAGGTGCCAGCAGGGTCCATGGTACCATCCTGTGGCACATACAGGGTCCCATAGAGGTCGTCCACGTTCATCAGTGGGTACAGATTCTTGGTCTCTGCCGGGCTCAGCACATGGGATTCTATACCATAGGCCTTGCCCAACTAGAAAAACCCAAAAAAAGTACCTGAGCCCATGGGAAGCAGGTTTTCAGGCCACTCACCTGACCCAGGGCCCAACCTGCTGCCTCTAGAAGCCTGGGCAGGTCTCTATGCCCAGAGGACCCCTTAGGTCTTCTCCAGCAAGAAAGTGAAGGGGTGGAGACAGTGCAGAGGCAGGGTCTGGAGCCACACCCCTTGGCTCTAGCATCTGCTCCAGTGGCAGCTTTTTAAGGGAAATGGGGGTACTGAACACCTACTCCCAGGAATGAGCAGATAGTAAACTGTGTGGTTGATTAGGAACTCAGACAAGAATGAGCTACAAACTGCTTAGTGTGTCATAATACAATCAAAACGACCCTCACAGTCTCTTATTTTAGGTCTGATGATTCCAGGTTTTCCCCAAAAAACACCAACATACTCTTGGCTTGACGGCACTGACAAACAGGCCATGCCCCCATATTTAATTGGACCAAGGATAACCAATCCAATGGAGGTGATGACCTATTTAACAGGGTTCCACCCAGTTAGCAATGAGATCCTCTAAGGATATTTTTCTTTTTGAGACAGGGTCTCATGTGTCACAGGCTGGCCAGAAACTGTAAAGCCAATGATGAACTTAAACTCCTGACCTTTCTGATAGGGTAAGAGGCATGTCCCACTATACCAGGCTTCAGATAACTTCAGAGGTAAAACTCAGTGACTCTGAACAGTTCTAAATCTGAGAGCAGGTGAACCAGAGAGTTGGGGTGGAACCAAGGACTTGGTGCACACCGAACAAGCACCCTACCAACTAAACTACACCCCAGCACTCTCCAGGAATTTTGAATGAAGAGTGTGGCCAAGGCTCTCCACCCAGGTAGCCCATCCAGCAAAGAGCATCGATAGGGTTTGAACCCTCATCTGTAGGCACTGGCTTCCAGTGCCAAGAGATTATTGCATGTACTCATTGCTGGGGCCTCCTTCATCTGGGTGTATGCCCACAAAGAGCACAGCATCTATGTGAGCTCCTATGAGGTATGCACTCCACACCTATGGAACACAGTCCCCCAGCTGAGCTCCCATGCAGAGAGCATGCCCCGCTTTCCCTAGGGGCATACCCACCGACATGAGCCTCTTGTATTCATCCAGGCGCTGCCGGTTAGAGGCAATGAATAGGCCACCGTTCTGGATCCAGCCTGTATGCAGCCCAGTCTCCTTTTCCAGATCATGGCTCACCACTTGCCGTGTATGAGCCAGAAGCTCTACCTCCACATCGCTGGGCCGCAGCTGCCACAATAAGCCTGGGTCAGAAAAGGACACCATCATTCCCCTGCAGGGTGGTGTTACGCTCCACTTCTTCCAGAGGAATAACGAGGGGCAGTGAGGAGCCCAGGGATGTTAGGTAGGGCACGACCTGCCACAGGTGGAAGTCAGGCCTATGCTGGGGCAGCTCCTAGTGACAGTATCTAGGGCTCCCATTAGCAAGCATCTATGTGGCAGGCCTGGTAGAGTCTACCTAAGGTCTTGAGAGGCCGGGCTAGCCTCAGACTTGCTCTGTGACCAAGAATGAAGCTGAATTCCTCATCTTCCGGTCTCTGGCTCACAAGTGCTAACATGATAGGCCTAGGCCACCGTACCTGGCCTTAGGAGGTTATGTCATAGGTGAACCTCATAAGCACCAAATAGTTGAATTCAAAGTCAGAGAGCAGGTAAATGGTGAAACTGAAAACTGACCAGACCCAGAAATCCCGGTCTTTCTAAGACAGCAGAGGCTGAGGCACAGAGGTCAGCAATGAAGCTACTGTGGCACGTAGGGGCAAGGCCTGACAGCCCAGCCAGCCTGGCCCTGGGAGATGGGCTTAAAGCAGTGGTTCTCAACCTTCCTAATGCCAAGACCCCTTAATAGGCTCTCCCTAGCACAGCTCTTCAGAGAATAAAGTCTGGCTGGCCTTCCACTCCATCATACATCTTTCCTCTCCAACTCCTCTGCCTCACCCAGACTGACCCCCAGCTGTGTCCACCTACCCGCCTGCACCCAGGCTCCCACCTGCTGAGTGCCAGGTGGTCCCTGAGGTCAGTCGCTCTCTCTCCAGCAGCACTGCTCCACCTACACCCAGCTTGGCCAAGTGGTACAGAGTCTGGCAGCCCAAACTGCCCCCACCAATGATCACAACATTGGCTGTGCTAGGCAGGGGCTGGCTTGGTCCTTGGGGCACCACGGAGGCACCTTGGACCTCCTCTTTCAGGGTCCGCTGGTATGGAACACTCTTCTCAGTGGTGAGCCTGGCCTCCCTGGCTAGGGGCTGTAGCCCCAGGTTCCGAGCAGATCTCCTTTGAAGACAGGTGGCAGCTACGCGTAGGACCTGGCTCAACGAAGCCATGGGAACTAGGGCTCCTGTACCTTGAGGAGCCAACAAGAGAGTCAGGTTGGATGGGGTACAGTGCAGACACTGTGGGGGTGAAGCTAAGTGCAGGCCCATGTCCCTGAGGCTCCCATGCTACATCCGCGCCCTTCTCCCTGCTGTGTTCCTGTGATGTGTGTCCACTCACCCACTCCCCACTCACTCACCCACTCACTCACCCACTCACTCACCCAGTCACTCATCCACTCCCCACTCACTCACCCACTCCCCACTCACTCATCCACTCCCCACTCACTCACCCACTCACTCACCCACTCACTCACCCACTCCCCACTCACTCACCCACTCCCCACTCACTCATCCACTCCCCACCCACTCACCCACTCCCCACTCACTCATCCACTCCCCACTCACTCACCCACTCACTCCCCACTCACTCACCCAAGCATCTGGATTTCAGATGGGACTCTGTACTGGCTTAAGGGGTCTCACTTCTCTGTCCCCTCCACAGTCCTTCCTTAAGAGATCAACAAGAGCCCTTCCTTCAGAAAGCCCACCCCACGCCCATCTCCCTATTCATCAAAATGTAATAATATGAGTTTACCAGGAAACCAGGCAGTGATGGCACACACCTTTAATCCCAGCACTTGGAAGGGAGAAACAGACAGATCTGAGTTTGAGGCCAGCTCTACAGAGTGAGTTCCAGGGCAGTTGGGGCTACACAGAGAAACCCTGTCTCACACCGACACACACACACACACCAAAAAAAAAAAAAAAAAAAAAAAAAGTCTACCAGGACTGATGGTACCCAGAGTGTCTCCTGGAGAGGATCCCTGCCCAGCACAGGGAAGAAAGAGAGAGAGGCCTCTGAGGGATTTCTCATGCCCTTTCCTGGGTTCAGCAGTAAAGTCAAGGCTTTGGCTGAGTGGGGCTGGCTTCCTTAGTACTAATGACTATTACCAAGTAGCCAGTTAACTGAGAAACTCACTTCCATCATCCAGTGTGGATGACAAGCTCTGTGCATTCACTCACTCCCACAGACTGCTCTGAGGCCCGTGACTCTTGCCTCTATTTTAGGGGAAGAGACTGAGGTAAGGGAAGCTTCCATCACAGACCTCTGTATGGCTGACTGAACAGCACTGTGACTGAAAGCCCTCCCAGCCTGGAGACTTGGGACCCACTGTGGCACCATGTCCCACTTGTGACCACACTGAACCCACACTGGGGAAAGAGAGTGGGTCAGAACCAAGCCACCCACTTCCATACCCCACTCCAAGGAGGCTATGCTCTGAGAGGCCTAAGGAGTAGGGAGGGGTTGGATTTTCAGGGAAGAGCGGTCCTTGCCCTTGCAGTCTCAGGCTGTCCCCATCCCTACAGTGACAGCTGTCAAGTCTTCTGTGGCTTCCAAGGATGAGACAGGAAGGTATTCCTCTCAGCAGAAATCTATACATACCTTAGTCCTTTGAGGTCCTTGGCTTTCCAGAAGCTCCTGAGAGGTTCCTAGCAAGGAAAAGTCAGCATAATATGGACCCAGTCAAGGCTCTGCAAGTCCAAGCAGTGCCTCTACCTTAGGACACCACACCAGGCACTACATACCTGCCAGAGGAGCCTGCTTCCTCTCCAAGCTGTGCCTGGTGCCAATGCTGCTGGCCTGAAGTGCTGCCACGTGCTCCTTCCTTGCCAGTCCAGCTAGTCACGGCAGGGGTGGGGGATGGGGCAGCCAGGACCCCAGCCTGCTCCTCCTCCTTCAGAACAGATTCTTCATTAACCTGCCCTCTGGCCTCTGCAGCTCTCTCCCTCAGCTTCCCAAGGGCTAGGGCAGAGGACACAGGGAATGAGAGCCCAGTCACAGGCCTGAGGCCTCAGACACAGGGCCCTTTTGGAAGGCAGCAACAGGTTAGTAGGGAGCCCAAGAGGGGAAGGCACTCCACAGAGCCCTCCCATAAGAGACCCCCCCCTCCCGCACCCCCACAGTTATCCATGGCCTTCCCATCTACCCCACGTCCTTCAACCAGAAGAAGAGGGAGGTCCCAGCTAGCGAGCAGCTAACTCCAACCCTGCCCATGAAGAGGCTGTCAAGACACTGCCCCCCCTTCTTTCCCAGGCTGCATCTGGGTCTAGCTGAACAGGCCACACACTCCCTTGCTGGTCCAGCCTACAACCGGGGCGGAATGTACCTCCCACCACCCCAGCTTCCTGGCCAGCCCTGCTGGGACAGCGGCCAAGTGGGCAGTTCTCCTGGCTGGCCAGCAGAGAAGAGCTGTGAATCCGGGCCCAGCTCTGTGGATGACCCCTCTCTCATAATTCCTTCCTCATCTCTAACCCAGGGGTCTCCATACTGCTGGGCAGCCTGTCTTGCCTATTCAGGTTCCCATCTCCCCAAGCCAGCTCAATCTATAGTTGGCTTCATGGGTAGAACCATCCCTTCTTGAACTGAGGCCCCTGGCGAGGTCATCTTGGCACTAGTCTGTGCTTGCTCACTCCCGGGACCAGACAGGCCATGGAGGAAGCCAGCAGCTGCCCACAGTCTGCCTATATCCAGGACATTGTGCCCATTCCAGACATGAGTGAATCCAGGAAGAACCAGTATGTTCCAAAACTTCTGGATATCCAAAGAATCAGAGGAGGTACTAGAGAGGGGTGCTGGAATTCACAACTACTTTTACTTGCATGGAACTGTCCAGCTATGTGCCAGCTTGTCTCTTGTGTACATTTACTGAGCACCTATTGCATACAAAGTATCCCCTGGGAACCCAGAGATACCTAAGTCCCAGGTTTGGGGTACAAGGACTTACGAAACAGAAAGTAAAGATGAAGGGGAGAAGCCTGGAGGGGAAAGGCCCCTTCATGGCTGCCTACGCAGCTGCTCATTTCAGAAGTAGGGTAGCACAGACTCTCTGGTTAACCACTCTTGCCATAGGTCTCAATCTCTGCCTTGAGGCTAGTTGATTACTAGCCCCACAAGCTTGAGACTTCTCTAGGACAATGTGGGATTCTGAGATTAGGGACAGAAAGCTCATTGATCCACCCAGATGTAGCCTGTCCCAACAAACCCAAACAAAACTGAGGTCAGGCTCTGCTCACCAGACTGACAAGCTGATTAGTGAGAAGGAGGTAAAAACATTGCTCAAGTCTTCTGAGTCCCTCAGTGTGTCAGCCTCAGTGGTGTGTAGAAGGACACCTAGTTAATATAGCCCCGGGGCAGTGGCTGGGCCAGGCTAACTCTAACAGTTGCATAGTCACTGGGACTTTGGACAGGGGTGGTGGCTGAAGGCTGGGACCAGTGGCTGGTCAGCTCTGTAGGAGTTGTTCTTGACCCCAGCATGTTACCCTGCGCAGGTCAAGGAGAGATGGGAGGCTGTGCCTGTGAGTGCTGAAGTGCACAGCTCATAGCCAGGGACTGACGGGCAAGGTCCTGTTGACAGTTGCATGGATGTAGGCTGCTCTCCTCATCTCTCCTGCCACCGAGGCAGATTGTGGTCCAACCCTACCCTATTCCCCTCCACCCCACCCCACCCCTGCAACCCTACCCTATCCCAACCCCCTCCACCCCTCCCCACCCCCACAATCCCATTCCACCCTAGCCCACCTATGTTAGACTAGAGTCACAGAACTTTTGGAATGTCTCTATGTATTAAGGGAAATTATTGGAATGACTTACGGTCTGCAGTCCAACTAACCCAACAATGGGCAGCTGTGAATGAGAAATCCAAGAATCTAGTACTTGCTTAGTACCACAAGGCTAGGTGTTTCTGCTGGTCTTCAGTTTATGCTGGAATTCTGAAGAAGCAGGTTCCAACAGATGTGCTGGCAGTAAGTGAAGCAGAGGAAGAAGTGAGTCTTCCTTCTTCCAATGTCCTTATGTAGGCCTCCAGCAGGAGGTGTGGCCCAGATTAAAGGTGTGCACCACCACCATCCCTACACTAAGCTGTTCTTTCTTTGGAACTTGCTCTGTCCCAGGCTGGCCTTGAACTCAGAGATCTGCTTGTCTCTCTCTCCTGGATTAAAGGCATGTACCACCTTGCCTGGGCCTAAGTTTCTCTCTCTCTCTCTCTCTCTCTCTCTCTCTCTCTCTCTCTCTCTCTCTCTTTTTCTCAAAAGAAGATCAGCCTCTTCTTTTTTATTTTTTCAAAGATTTATTTATTTATTTATTTATTTATTTATTTATTTATTTCATGCATGTGGGTACACTGTCGGTATCTTCGGACACACCAGAAGGTGGCATCGGATGCCATTACAGATGGTTGTGAGCCACCATGTGGTTGCAGGAATTGAACTCAGGACCTCTGGAAGAGCTGTCAGTGCTCTTAACTGCTGAGCCATCTCTCCAGCCCAGGTCTAAGCTTTTCATGGTCACTATGCCTCAAGATCCAGGTCAGAAGCCTGTGAGATCTGGATCACAGTGTGCCTTCCATTTCTAGATTGTAGTTCATTCCAGATATTGTCAAGTTGGGAACTGGGAATAGCCACCACCCCACCCCACCCCACACTATACTATCAGCTTTACAGCTTTCTTAGAACTTTCTGAGTATTTTGACTCTCCTGGTGTATGTGGGGGGAGGGGCATGGCAAAAAAAAAAAGGGCAGCTCTGTGGGTAGAAAAGGGGGGTGGGGAGGATCTTGAGAAGAATTATAAGAAGAAGATTATAAGAAGAATGGGTATTTGGGAGAAAGGGAGCCTGTAGGCTGGAAGGGGAGCTTTGAAATGTATAAGTACTTGTGAGTAGGGGCTGAGAGCACCTACAGGCTAGCAGGGACCTTGATAAGCTGATACGCACCACAGGCATATGTTGATGGGAGAACCATATGTCCCTTTTGCCAGAAAGAAGGGAAATGGCTCCTTTTGGTAAGTGGAAAGCAGTTTCACAAGCTCCTGAGCAATGCTGGCTTTTATCTACCCACCAGAAATCCTCCTGTATCTGGGTTGAGCTAATTTCTAGACATTTGGACAGCCCTTTGAAGTTGGGGGGATTGAGTTTCCTTTGGAGCTAACACCATAGAACACTAGGAAGGGAGCACACTACAAGCAGGGTCACGGTTGATTCCATTCTCCAGAGTGGGGGTTAGCTCCAGGTCACAGCCTTTCCCAGATGCCCAGATTCGCAAACTCAACAAGGTTTATGGCAGACTGGCCTCCCTTGCCCTCAACATCCTGAGACTTCTTTCTAACCCGGCGGGCTCTCACCTGCTGATCAGCCTTGCAGGGCAGAAGGGTTGCAGACCACCCCTAATAGAGTAGAAGTCCCTAGCAAGAAGGTGCTGGAGGGAGAGTCTTCTGCCAAGCTCCACATGTGGCCCTGCAAAGGGGACACTAACAACAAGACAGGCAGAAGAGCAGTCTATGGATGGGACTTCCTTATGACCCACCCAAAGGAATGTATAAACTAACAACACGACTGCTCCATGGTTTTTATTGTAGCTATGAGAGAATTAACAGCCAGAGGTAATTGTGAGAGTCCAGAGAAAAGTGAGAAAGAAGTAACTTGAACATGGACAGTAGACGGATCCTGGCCATGAGAGGAGCACAAAGCGGGTGGGAGGAGGGGGGTGGGATAGCAGGAGAAGGAGGAGGTGAGGGAATGAAGCCCTGGCACTGGAGGGAGTTTAGAGCAGGGGAGGAGGTGGGAAGAGTCAGGAAATGTTACATTGTTACACTTTGAACTGTGTACCGGCACTTGGGACACTCAGGGAGCCTGGAGGTCAGCATGTACTTTGATATGCTAATGGGCACCAGGATAGCCTTTTATCCCTTCTGGCTTTTGGAATTTGGAGAAATGGAGTCTCCTTTGGACTTGACAAGGAAAAAGTGCTCAGGAACCTGGATGCTCAACTCCAGTGGCTCTGAGCAGTGCTGGTGTGAAGAAGCAGTCTGGGCCAGTCAGCAGGCAGCTATACATGTGACCTCTCAGAGTGATAGGAATGGCCTAATTGTAGAGATGAGAAAACTGAGGCAGGACACAGCTTTGGGGTGCCATGTTTAAAAAAAGAAAAAGAAAGAAAGCCAGGCAAGTGGCTCATGCTTATAATTCCCAGCCCAATCCCTGAAGTTTGATCCCCAAAATCTATGTTTAAAAAAAGTCTGGGTACCATGACGTATGCTTGTGATCCCAGCACTGTGAAGGTGGCAACAGGGGCTTGCTAGCCAGTCAGCTTTGCCTATTTGGTGATTTCTAGGCCAATGAGACCCTGTTAGAAAAAAAAAGGATTCAGGGTAAGTCAGGATCTTCCCACGGAGCAAGTGACAACTGTCCCAGGACAGCTGAAGCTCCTCCTGGCCCAGGCACTTCAGAGAATGATGCTGGGCGTCTTCCTGGTCTTGGCCAGCAGGTGTGAGAACTGCACCTCCCAGAGGACCCAGGGCTTCATGGCACTGCATCAGCCCTCACCTCTGGGTTCCTGCCCTGCTTGAGTTCCTTTGATGATGAACTGTAGAACCATAAGCAAAATAAATGCTTCCCACCCCAAATGTCTGCTGTGGTCATGGTGTTTCACCACAGCAATGGTGACCCTGGCTAAGAAGATGCCCACCCATCATTTTGTCCTGTTACATTCTCCATTAGCCTTGGAAGCTTTCCCTTCCCAGCTATTTTCCTGGACTCTGGGATAGCTTAGGTACCTGTAAAGAACATCCCTTGGGGCTCGGGCAGTCAGGGAATTGTATCACACAGGCAGGGAAGAGCACAAGCATTGTAAAGCTCTTTCTCTTACTAGGTTCGAATGCCCCCAGGTTCCTAGACAAGGGCAGAAGCACCAAGAGTTGGGGCTCTGGTCTCCCCAGGAGTCAGCCAGTCCTGAAGAGGACACTTGGCAGGAAATACTGCACCCTGGTGGTAATTTGTGAGTTCTACACCTAAGAGAGAGGGACCTCACTAGGGAATGGGGCCATGGGTAAGTAGGCAGGGTTGACCTTCCACTGGACTGTCAACTTGGGCTCTCCTATAGCCCTGCAGACACTTGGGACCAGCCACCACCTCAAGGAAGTACCATCCACAAAGCAAGACAGAGAAAGGGCCAATGGGAAGCAAGAGGAAAAAGCGGGGACCCTGTTGTGAGAAGCAGGGAGCCCACCTCAGTGTTCTCCCTCAGCTCAGTCAGTCAGTTGGA